TCTGCATTGCATATAGTAGGCACGCAGTAAAAGTTCACTGAATTTAAAATGATATTTGTTAAACTGGATCCAGACCATCTCCTCCAAGCTACTCCTTCAAAAATATTTTTCTATTTGTTGAGGAGAAAAGACAATATGAACCTAAAAGAGAAAAAGGGTCTATTTTTTCAGGGCATTCTCACGTAAGGAAAAATCTTAACATGAATTCAAATATATTAATGAACAATTCGTGAGGACAGCTGCCAATGCTAGTAAATTCACCCCTCTGCTGCATAGCTACTGCTTATTCAGGAATTATACAGGCTTGCCAATGATAGCTGTTGACTGAAAATAAATATTTGATTTTGTTGTCTCACCCTACCCCATTTATTAAACAAGTTCTTTTACATAACTATTTAAGAAAGTGAAGATTCTGAAGTCTCTACTGGATATATTTCTGACAAATTTATGGTGTTGAGTTAATGATAATTTTGGGGTACCTGATCTTTTTTCTTTCTTTCCTCATTTTTTAACTTTGCATACGTTTGCTCAAAATGTCTGGATTTGGTAACCAATTATAGGACACTTTTCACAGCAAACCTAGTGAAATAATGTCAACTTATAGCTATGACCTCAAATGATTAGACATGCAATTCTGAACCTGATTTATGGAAAATGGAGCCCAATTCTCTGGCCCCAGGCCTGAATGCTGGGATGGCAGAAACCCGTACTGGAAAAATGTAGTTTTCCAAGTAAATGAGGGTGATTAATGGAGAGGTTCTTCTCACATTGGCTCCCAAGAGTGAACTGCTGTGCTCCGTGGAGCTGAAAATGGAATACTGGGGCTGATTATTCCTAGCACCAAATGATTACTGATACAATTTTGAATGTTGCCATAACAGTAGGTAAAGCAAAACAATAAAAAACCCAGACTTAGTGAAAAAAAATAAAAACTCTATATATTGAGAGTAGAGATTAGTTTGTCTAACTCAGGCCAATAATTCATAGAAAAAGTCAGTTGAGAGCCATTTACGTAAAAAGAAAATTAATATAAGTGGGATGCTTTTTGGCCTAGAGAGAAAGAGATCAATATTTCGCTCATTAACTTTACAAATTAAGAACAGAGAGCAAACAATCTACTAAGACCAGAAAATAAAATTAGTAAATTAACACCTGTAATCCTAGCACTCTGGGAGGCCGAGGCGGGAGGATTGCTTGAGCTCAGGAGTTCGAGACCAGCCTCAGCAAGAGCGAGACCCCGTCTCCACTATAAATAGAAAGAACTAGCCAAACAACTAAAAATAGAAAAAATTAGCTGGGCACGGTGGTGCATGCCTGTACTCCCAGCTACCTGAGAGGCTGAGGCAGGAGGGTCGCTTGAGCCCAGGAGTTTGAGGTTGCTGTGAGCTAGGCTGATGCCACGGCACTCTAGCCCGGGCAACAGAGTGAGACTCTGTCTCAAAAAAAAAAAAAAATCCCTTAAAAAAAATTAGTAAATTAAATAAATGATAAAATCAGAGTACATAAATAGATTTAAGTTCTAGATTATATTTTAAAAGCTAATTTAAAAATACATATTTTTATATTATGACCATTTGGGTTGGGGTGTATGTGGAAATGAGCAATAGAAGGTGAAGTCAACACGCATGAAAAAGACAGTTGTGCAGCACACACCAATACCCAAAGGATAAGGAATCAGATGTGGTGATAAAGAGATGAAGAAGAGGGAGAGACAGAGATAGAGACAGAAAGAGCAAGACAGACATGTATATACAAATGAAAAGACAGAGGACAAAAGAATGGGACAGCTAGAAGGACAAACATTTTCATTAGTTCAATAAATATTCATTGAGGCAAACACAGACCCAGAGAGATGGGGATGGCAGACAGGGGTGGCTCTGTAGTTCTTTGAATCTAGTCAAAGTGAACCGGGCTGTTGACCATAACTGTACAAAATTGTTTTTGAGGGCCTACTAAGTGCAAAAGCACTGCGCTAGACACTAACGGATACAAAAGGAGGAATAAAATAGATTCCCTACTCTCTAATGACTTATTGAAAAGTTGAGTTGGGCCTATGAGTGAATTATCTGCTGGTTTCATCATTCTTAAAAAATGATGAACTTGTTTGGAATTTATAATAGGCCTTTATATAATGATGGCAAGCAGGATTTTTGCTTTGATTGTTATTTTAGATTATAAAGACTTCATAAAGGAACTCAGAAATAAAGAACTTTCCTTTTCATCTTTAAAAGTCAGAGGCATAAATAATAACCAAGAGGGGAAATCTCTGGTACACAAAGTTGCTTGGTGGCCTGATCTTTGTTCTTAGAGAAATTATTCCTGCTTCATTCATTACCTGGCATCTGGGAGATATTTGAAACCATCTCTTACTTTTTTTCCTTTTTAAGTTCAATGCTGTTTTTGGCTCATTTGGGTTTTAGTGGGAATGAACAACCAAAACAAAAATTATAACATCTCCCACTCCCACCCCCAAAAAACAACTCTGGAGAAATAACTTTGTGAATTAATAAATGGATAGCTGCTACCATTTACCTACAACTAGAGCCATACTGCCCATTAGAAATATAATGTGAGCCACATTTTAAATTTCCTGGAGCTACATTTAAAAACTTTTTAAAAGGTAAAATTAATTTTAATAATATATTTTCTTTACTCCAATGTATACAAAATATTATCATCTTACAATGTAATCAATATCAAATTTATTAATGAGATACTTTACATTCTTTTTTCATACTAAATTTCTGAAATCAGTTGTGCATTTTATACTTACAGTACATCTCAATTTGGATTAGCCACATTTCAAGTGCTCATTAGCCAAATGTGGCCAGTGGCCACCATGTTGAAAACAAAGATCTGGAGTGCTACTCCCAAATGGATTGTATATCCCTTCCTATTGTTAGCTCTACCGGAGATCTAACCAGATTAAAATAAAATCTAAAAGCCAACTTTTGTTTTCTGAGCCTCCTAAGTATAGAATATTGTCATTTTGCAACCTGCCTGGTGGTATTTACCTTTTGGGCATAAAGAAGGTGAGTTGAGGTTTGTAAATGGATTTGGGAAGGTACAGCTCTCTTAAGCAAAGCAACCAGTCCATCAGAGATTAAGAAGTAAAACGTCATGTGGGAGATAATGACTGGAGAAACCAGCCCTGCTCTGCACTTAGGGGTGAATTAAGCAGGCTTGCCTCGATGTTTTCCTTGCACCCTATATAGCCCTCTGTCAAGCAGTTATCACTGTAGACTGTAATTTCCTTGAAGGCCCATACCATCATTACCCATCTCTGTTTCTCCAGCACTTAACATAGTGCCTGGCACATAGTTGGTACTCAATAATTGTCTGCTAAACAAGTAAATGAATTCAAATAACTTCAGTTTCTCATTTGCACTAGCCACATTTCTAGTGCCCCATAGCCACACATGGCCAGTGGCTACCATATTGGACAGCACAGATATAGAACATCTCCATCATCACAGAAGTCCTGTTGGACAGCATTGTTCTAGAACAATGGGCAGAAATACCCATTAGGTGACAGGAGCCCCTAGAGATTATAAAACTTTTCTTTTTTTGTGAGCAAGTAAGAATACCAGTGATATTAAATAACAATGAAAGAAGCAAAAGTACAAATAGTTATATATTTTGGCCTCCTGGGAAGGTCAAATGCAATGCCATTATGGTTTCCACTGATAAAATAAACTTGGCTATGTATTTTTTCCTGAGTTTCTGTCTCCCTCTCAAAGTCTTCTCACCTCGATTCCCATCAGGCACAATCCTTATGAGTGCCCCTCTTACCCTCTAGTCCAAATGTCTCAAACGTCTAATTAATGCTTTCCCTTATTTCCTGAGATACATTGGCAAAGTACAAAAGAAATTTTTGTACAAAAGCTAGTGGGAAAAACAAAGAAATATAAAAATCATGAAAAATAACCAAGCTTATATACGATATATACTTTTTTGAACTTAAGAATCCCAGGAAAAGCAACGAGATGCTTAAAGAAATCCTACATTCCCTTAACCTGAAATAATTGGACTCTGATGGCAATTTTATGGTACATTAGCTGTATCCCTTTCTGATCAGTCCCTTGCTTCAGCCAGGAGATTTCTGGGATGCCATCTCAGTTTCTAACATACAGTAGTTGGTGCACATGAATATGTGTCTCATTCCCCATTTAAGGATGTCCCTTTAGAATACTTCATTTCTCTTTAAATGAAACTTTCCTTGTCTCAAAGGCTGTTGTTTGCTAAGCCCCTCCTGCTTAGTTTCACATTGAGACCTAAGAGACATGCTTAATTATAGATGACTTACAGAACTGGTGACTCTTGCCTTCAGCTCTAGTGAATGATCTAACACCGTGGTTCCCATGTCTAACTGATGATCAGAATTATCTTAGGAACTTTTGCAAAATTCAGATTCCTGGACTCCACTCCAGACTTCTGGATCAAATCTCTGGCAGTGGGGCCTGGGAATCTTTATCTTTAAGAAGTATGTGAGGTGAAATGATGTACTGTTTCATTTAGAGATTATTGATATGTTTCTTCTGTACTCAAATGATCAACTCTGCCCACCTCCAGATCATTCAATAAGAACTTTCCTCAAACCCCTAATTTTGTCCCTTTACAGTTTGACAATGAAACAGGATCTTAACCATTCATACAGATGTAGGGGGGACAGGGTTACGGGGAGTTTTCACACAAGCTTCAAGTTTCCATAACTCTAATGTTTTTCTAGAGAAATCAGTTTGAATCTTGTAACTACATGGGATCGAAATGTCCCTACAGAATTCACTGTCAGCCCAACAACAATGAAGATTCCAGCAGGATGTGTTCCTAGGTTAATGAACAGTCAGCCTGCCAGCTGGAAAGTCCAATGTTGAGAATGCAAAACACAAATATAATCCAGGAAATGAGAAAAATAATTTACCAGAAACCCAAGCTGTTATTGAATTTTAATATATGTTGCTGGTGCTCATCTTTTGATATTTCAAATAATAATCACTTACCCTTGACCAATTTTTTCAAATCTTGTGTATTTTTTCTTTGGATCCCCAACACTCACGATGCTTCCTAAGAAACGGGTGGGAGAAGGGAGAGAGGGAGAGAGGGAGAGAGAGAGGGAGAGAGGGAGACAGATTGGAATTAATTGACTGGTTTCTCTTTATTTAATAATGAAAATTAAGAAGGCAGAGTTGACGACAAATAAAAAATTAGAAGAATACTCCCATGCGATTTCTATAATTTACATGAAAGATGATATTTTCTATTTGTTAAAATAACAAATAGTAATATATTAATTAAAGTAGTAACAATAAGTGTGCTGCTTATATTCAAAATTGATGATGTTTGGAAAATATCGGGTACTTAGTAAATGTTTATTAAACTCAAATAAAATTAGGTATTTCCTTTTGTAAATGCCCTATTGTTTAAGAAAGGAATTGGAGAACGTATGTTTTACTTGAGCTATATCTATCGAATGTCACCAATTTAGCAATTTCTGAGTTGGTATTTTATTTTTCAAATTGTCTAACAGATTTCTATATCTCTGAGAGCCATCCTTATTTCAGTTAGCTATTAACAGGTAAGGGCCTGGGCTTTTTAAAAAATTAAGTAATGATTTTAAAGTCACTTGAAACCATAGTTTTATTAAATGGTTTATAATCTTCTACAAGTTTTACTATAAATTTGCTGAGCAAACTCTTTTCCATAGACTGAGCAAAAGCAAATAAGCTTCAGCCCAGCCACCTTCTGAATTATGACCCATTCTAATTGGCCGGGTTCAGTTAATGAGGCTTCATGGTAGTAAATTATTCAACCTTTATTTCCATGGTATGTGGGGTTAAAAAAAAAAAACTGGAAATAAATCCTTTCATGAGGATTACCAAAAGACAACCATTTTGATGAGATTCTGCTTCTGAATTTAACTGCTGTTCAAATAAGATGGCGTCCCCGCCCTCATCACCCTTCACAGGAGAGCCTGTGCTGCCATCTACTGATGTTAGGCAAGTGCGCAGGAGGCCTTGTTTACAATTCCAAATCACAAAACAAGCTTTTAAAGCCATCTCTTTTCATCAGATTCTTTATAATTTGCTTTTCTAAATCACAATAAAGAAAAGAAAAAACACTGCGACACAATAGGGAAAAAAGTAAGAATAATCAGCAAATCAAAATCAAAAGGAAAAAAAAAAACCGTTAGCAGAACAATTTCCTAGCAGAGTAATTCCCTAAATAAGACACTACTCATTTGAAAGTACAAGGTTTTAAAAAATTACTAAGTACTTGTATTTGGAAATAGGGTTCATGATGTGGTTTCAGTGGCAGAAAAGCCCATGAATATATTCCCTAACATATTAAGCTAAGCTGAACTCCCACCATTAAAAGATTATCCCTTTAGCATAATGAAGGTTTTGATTCCCGAGAAAAAGCAAAATAATTCTCTAAATTAATATCAGTTCTACCTGAGGGTGAATTAGGAAAAAGAGTTCTTAGTGAGGAATGTTGGGAGAGGAGAGGGACAAGAGGAATAGGTGATTGATTGTGGGGCCTGGAGGAAGGAGGCTGAAGACAAATTTCCTGTATTGCACAATTTTACTGACAGTGCCTTTTGAAAATTTTCACTCGAATGTAGGTATTTCTTTGTCTTCCAGCAGATCCAGACACACCACAATGAACAAGCCAGAGCTAGGCTAACTGTCTGTGTAAAACTGAAAGATGATCTGTCCGTTTCAGCCATTACTGATCCCTCGGTCTGGCCCCCACAATCAGTATCTGCGTGGAAGATGAATAGCCTGGCGGCTCTGTGGTCTGGGCTGCCCACCACCGAGTAATCGGACTCCCGAGGCTGAAGGTGAGGATGATTTACTAGAGGCTGTCATTTCCTCTTCCACATGCTTGTGGGGTCCACTCTGGTGTGGGTTGTTGGCCATCCCTCTACCTCCCTGCCTCCCTTTCCTCTCTCCTTTGCCTCTCAGCAAAGCATAGCACAGGCTCCTCTACTCCTTCCTCAAGCTCCAATGTGGACCTTGAATCCAAGGTCCTCGATGACTTCTACATAGGGATCGAAGATCTGGGATTATTCCTGGTTTCAAACATTCTGTCCCATTGTAAGACCCCATGCTCCATGTGTTATACTGAAAAAATAGGGTCACTCTCATTTTGTAAAAATAGCATAATAATAATTTTATATTACTATTTATTGTGCTAGATTTTTTACACACTTTAACTCATTTAGTCCTCAGAAAACCCCTATTATATAGATACTATTATTATCTACATTTTTCAGATGAAGAAATTGAAGTTCAGAGAGGTTAAGTGACTTGCATAAGGACACTCAGCTAGTCTGTGTCTATGACTCAGACCCAATTATGACTCATTCCATGGTATTATCTTATTAAGGTTTTTATATTCATGTAATAAAACAATAACTACCATTTATTGAACACCTATGATGTGCTAGGTACTGTTGCTAAGGTTTTTACATGCACTATTCTCATTTGATTATCATAATGGTATGAAGTTGGTACTATTATTATCCCCACTTTTTAAATGAGGACATGGAGGCCCAGAAAAGTTAAATAACTGGCCCCAAGGTGACACAGCTGGTAGCAATGGGTCTGTGATTTAAATGTGTGTCTTTTTATCTCCAATATCTGTCCTCTTAAACACAGGTTGAGCACCCTAAAATCCATCCTATAGACAGAGTCCTAAAATGTAGTTATGATTCTTATCTCCACTTGACAAATAAGAAACTGAGCCTCAGAGGGGTTTAAATGACTTGGCTAAGACAAGTGTGAAAGTGGCAGAGACAGGGCATAGAGAGAGTGATGGTGGAGCAGGAGCATGAAAGCCTGACTTTGCAGATTTTGAGGTATAGTTCAGCTTGGATCTGCTTCATGACAAGCACTCCCCCATTTCTCTGCAGATTCTCCCTGCCAAGATCCACAAGTCCAAGGTAAGGATGGCAGTCACAGATGGCCCACTAGCTAGAGGGAAAATGATTCTAGGCCCAAACATGAAGTCCAAAGAGAAAAAAAACCCACTTAATTCTTAATTAAAATGGACTCAAAGTTAGCTTCCCCTTCTTCATCACGTTGCTTAGTGCAAAGCAGAATAAAAGACTAATCATAAAGGCCACAGCTCTAGCACCATTGCAGTTTACGAGCAAAGCAAGATTTCAGCCCAAGAAAATAATGCTTGTTTCTGTGTCAGCTAACTCAGCAAAGCTATAAATGCATTTTCATTATAATAAATTTATTGAGATTTGAAATAGATACCAAATAATAGTTATTTTTATTAAAGTAAGGCTGTTAGATTTTTAAAATCTGATATACTCGCATGGGCCACATCTACACGTACAAAATAAAGGAAAAAAATTGGGGCAATCGTCTGAATAATTGAACTTATATTATCCAGGCACTTCTTTCATTTCTTCCTTCCTTTTTACACAAATAGACAGTTGGGATATGCAGAAGCAGAGTGGGTAATGGAAAAAGTATAAGTTTTGAAGGCAAACAGATCTGAGTTCAAACTCTGGCTCTGCCACCCATTAGTCTGATGACTTGGTAACTTAAGCTTTTGAAAGCTCACTTTCACTGATCTGTAAAATGAGGATATCAAATTCTACCGCAAGGAATTATTGTGAAAATTAACCCTGATAATGTATATAAAGTGGCCCATAGAGAAGGTGCTCAATAAATGATAATTATTACTGTTGTTATTACAGCAAATGGTTGGTATTAGTGCTAGAGACACATTTAATCATGTATAGTAAAGTCAGTTACCTCAAGTCCGGCAATTGAGTTCTGAGTGCTCACTGACAGCTGCAACCCCAACCTTTGCCTTTCCAAATACATTTAGCTCAAAATGTCTCAACCTTAGCAATGTTGGCATTTGGGGCTGAATAATACTTTACTGCGAAGGGGGAGAGAGGGGAGCTGTCTTGTGCATTGTAGGATGTTTAGAAGCATCCCTAGCTTCTATCCACTAGATGCCAGTAGTACTCTCTGAATCATGACAATAAAAACTGTCTTCAGACTTTGCCAAATGTCCCCTGGAGGACAAAGTCATCATACCACCACTTCTGCAGAGCCTCCCTGTGGCCTATAACTGGAATTGCTTTATTCCTTTTCTGAGGTCTCTTAGATAAAAATTTGCAGGAAACAAGACATTCCTATTCTTTAATTGTATCGCACTATTAAATCTTATCTTTCAAAGAAAATTGTAAGGTTTTGTTGTTTTATTGTGTTCTCCAAAGTTTCTTGCATAGAACAGACAAGTAGGAACTCAGCAAAAATGACTTTGCTTGCTCATTTTTTCATTCATTCATTCAAAAAGCATTTGTTGAGTGCCTTTGTGTGGCAGGAACTCACTGGGAGTTGGACATCATATAGGAAAAAAAGGCACAGTACCTCCCCTTGAGAAACTCACAGTTTAGTGAAGGAGACAGACTAGTATGATGTGATATTTGCTACAATAAAAGTGGTAAAGAAGAGGGGCCCTCAACACAGACTGGCAGAGACAAGGAAGGCTTTCCTGAGGAGGCAACTTTTGAGCTGAGTTTGAAGCATGAGTAGGAGCTAATCAAATTAGGGGGAACTGATTGCTAATATCTAGTAATCTGTTAGATGCTTTTGTGGTATGAGTTTCATAAATATGCTTCACAAGACTTTTGACTCTTTTCACCAGAGAATCTATTTTTATCTTTTTTTTTTTTAGGGGTTTAATAATGCATGATTTTTATTCTCTTGCTCTGAAAGTGTGTAAAGGAAAAAAAAAATTAAACCAAGGAAAATAAGGTATTATGGGCCTCTTGTGCTTTTAAAAAGGAAAAAAAAAGTACCCACTAATTTCCTCAGATATAGCAGGCTTAGTGGTCCTCTATTTTGAAAAGTTCTTAAGAACGGTCTTTAAGGTAGGAGGAAGAGGGAAAGCATCCACTAGTCCTTCCCAGAATTTAAATAGTGGGCAGTAGACATTCTTTATACCCAAAAACTATGGCAGCAGTTCAAATGTGACCAAGGTAAATGTAGAATGAAGATGTTCTAAACACAGCTAGGACTCAGCAATTCTAACACACTTAAATCATATGATTACATTTTGGAAGAAAATGCACAAAAACCAAATAGGAATTTTGAGATTTTCATTGGATGGTAATCTTAATGCTATTAAATTCACAAATGTGCTAATTTAAATACCCAATTCCTATTTATCTAAAACACACATTGCAAACATACAAATATCTATTCTCTCCACATGTCAGCGCCCATTCATATGGTTTGGAAATGAGGAGAATAGATTCCCCTTAAATTGCAAGTCAGCAGGTGTTTCTTTACAGTTAACTTTAGCAAAATTCATACAAAATAGTAATTAACAATGATCTTCTTTACTTGTTAACTCACAAGGAAACACCTTCAAAACTGCATTTTGTTAAAGTTTCTGTACTAAAATGTAGAAAAACTGAACTACACAAATATTGAAAAGTTAAAAATTCCTTAATTTTTTATTCCTGGTACCACTACCACAATTTACAGGGCAATATACCTGATGTAATGAAAAGAAAAAGAAAAAGACAAAGCTACAACAGATAAAAGACCTCAGGAATGTACATCTAATTGACACTACATTGCATTAATCAATAGCTGCACTTTTTGCAAACTGTGGCTATGACAGTCCTGAACAAGAAGGGTTTCCTGTTTAAGCTGCAGTAACTTTTCTGACTATGGATCATCGTTCCTTCTGTGGCAGATTTTTACAGTTCCTCTAATGCATTTGGGACGACTGTCTCAAAGTAACCTGCAGCTTTCCTGACAACTCCTCGCTCTCTCTCCTGCTAAGAACTGTAGCCCTTTTCTGCTGTTTTTAGAACCTTCTGCTACCATATCCACCACTTCCACCACCAGATCCATAATCACCACCATATGGACTGCCCGAGCTTCTTCCACCAAAACTGCCCCCTTTCATGGGTCCATAATTTGATTGCTGTTGTCCACTATAATTTCCAAAATCATTATAGTTCCCACCACCACCATAGTTACCACCTCCAAAATTTCCTCCTTCATTGTAACCATCATATCCTCCTCCACCACCGCCATATCCACCACCTTGGTTTCCATATCCTGGTCCACCACCATAGCCCCCTCTACTACTATAACCAGGACCGCCTCCATAGTTGCCACCATCACCTCCAAATCCATTGTATCAACCATCACCTCCTCCATAACTACCTCTGCTGCCACCACCTCCACCACCATAGCCTCCTCTTCCACCAAAGTTTCCACCACGGCCAAAATTACCTCCACCACCTCCAAAGTTTCCTCCACGACCCATAAAGTTGCCAGATCCACCTCCCCGACCTCTTTGCGATCCAGCAGACTGCATCTCTTGTTTAGAAAGGGCCTTTTTCACTTCACAATTATGCCCATTAATAGTGTGGTATTTCTGAACAACAATTTTATCAACAGTATCATGATCATCAAAAGTTACAAAAGCAAATCCTCTCTTTTTTCCACTCTGCCTGTATTCCATAACTTCTATGGTTTCAATCTTGCCATACTTTTCAAAGTAGTCTCTCAAATTATATTCTTCTGTATCTTCTTTAATACCACCAACAAAAATTTTCTTCACCGTTAGATGGGCACCAGGCTTTACAGAATCCTCTCTAGAAACAGCTCTCTTTGGTTCCACAACACGCCCATCAACCTTGTGTGGTCGAGCACACATTGCTGCATCCACCTCTTCGACACAAGAGTAAGTCACAAAACCAAAGCCCCTAGAACGTTTCGTTTGGGGGTCTCTCATTACCACACAATCTGTGAGTGTGCCCCATTTCTCAAAATGTTCTCTTAATGTAGTTTCAAAGCTCAGGCCACCAATAAACAGTTTTCTCAACTGCTCTGGTTCCTTTGGATCATGGCCCTCCTCCCCCCGGCGGCGGCGGCGACGGCCGGAGTCGGGCTGGGGGCGACCGGGCGGCGGTTTTACCTCCATTTTGAGCTATTTTTATCTTTTTAACCCAAAAAACTAACTAGTAGGCAAGTGTTTGGTAAGCCTGGGGCAACAAGTGTGCATGCACATGCATGTACACACTAATGAAACTGTGGAAGGAGACTGCTAGCATTAGCTGATTCTCTCTCCCTCCCCACGTAGGAACACTTCTAAATTAAGGCTATATTATTTGTGGTTGCAAGTATTGACTGACCATGTTGGACTTTGAGGGTAACTTATCTATCATGATTGATCAGTTGGGATACAATCAGAAGATTGTATTCTTCTGTGTATCAGAAGATTCTGAGATACAATCAGAAGACATTTCATCAGACTGTTTTATTCCTTTTGAAGGCATAATCTTAAAACAGAACTTACTACTTAATTCATTTTGTCAAGTTTTCACCTCAGTTGACTTTTTCAAGTAAAAATATTTAGTTTCCGTCAATTAGGAGTGGGAGGAAGGGAGCCATCTGGCATATCTGGCATATACAATGAGTCCCAAACTTTTCATCTTGTGATTTCAGGCAGCCTGGAGTTCATACAAGCAGATTCAAACTTCTAAAGGATCAATCCCCATTCTCAACAGTTTATGAGAAACCCTTCCATGAAGAAAGCAATGATGGCAAAAAACTCACTTAGCTTCTCTAAGATCTCCTCATCTGTCATCTTGGATTTTTTCCTTTGCCGATCTGTGTTCCTGTACAAAGTACTGGAATTGGCATTCTCAGCGGAAGGTGGTGTGACCTCTTTATTTGGTGCTGCTGGTGAAGCAATGGATTCAACCACGGAACGAGTGTAGATCTAAAAGACAAAACCCAAAAAGTTCTACAATTAAAACAGCAGGCCAAGGAAAGAGTATGGTGTCAAGGTATTTTCATATCAATGAGTTTTTAAAGACAAGTGGTTTTCTATTAAAAAAGAACTCTTAGTAGCTTCAAGTACACAGCCCTTGAAAGATCTTGGGAGCTAGTCTTACGAGGTTCCTATATATGCCCTGCTGTATTCTGTATTCTGGTCTTGGTGCCTCTGCATATGCAATTCTTCCTACCTGGTTCACATGGATTTCCTTCCCTATGTTAACTTCTCTAGCAGTTTTATAAATCAGCGGTTATCTATATATTGTTGGTATTGGTATTATTTTCTAGTTGTTTAATGAGCTAATCTTGTATCCTCAAACAGCAACCTCAAAACCTGGGTCATATCTTATATTCTAGGTCTGGGAACATGGGAGATGCTTAATAGGTACTAGTTGATTAACTATATTTTAATTCTATAACTGCTCCAAAGCACACCTTTTGAATCATTTGGAAATAGTCACTTGTGACTTACTGATTTTGTATGCTCTGGTCTTGGTGCAATAACTGGTGGGGGCTCATTGTCATCTTCTTCTTCTTCCTCTTCTTCATCTTCTTCTTCAGACACAGGAGGAGCCAAAGGAGGCTCAGATGCTGTTTTTGTACTCTGGTGACAAAACAAAGTTTAAAGACCAGGTATTAACTCCTCAATGCTTTTCTTCAGAAATAAGACAAGGGAAATGAAATATTTAAGTATGTAGGAATAGGAGGGAACTACATCTTTTACAAATGAGCAGAATCATCAGTAATTTGGTGGCCAGGACCTGCTCACATTCAGAGATAAATTTATGTCACGGTTTAAAGGACCATGAAGTCTAAAAGATTATTTTTATTTTTCACTGAGATCAAAAACAGTGAACTATTATTCACTTGATATTTTAAAGGTCAATGTTTTAAAAAATACAATAAAACATCAAATTAAGTGCCGTTAAAGCCTTGAATCTGTACTGGGCAGATTGTCAATGTTGATTGACAGTCTGTCAACTTGAAAAGGGCTGTTTTCTGCCTAAAGATCAGAGCATACATATAGATATGATATTAATACTGCTCTGTGAATACTCACTAAGAATAAACAAGCCAATAAATGTTTCTTCCCTGTGCAGCCTCCTGGAAAGAAGCACTCAGAGAGTAATAGACATGAAGATCTAAGAAATGCCCATCCACATAAATAACTACTCAATATTAACCAACAGGTAAATGGTGATTTACAATGTTTTATAAACTGTAATAACACCACCACCACCAACAGCCATAGTGCCTAGGGTCAGTTCTTGATCATTCACATTACTACAGTGGTAAAATGGTCCTAAAGTTGGATTTTGAAAGAACCATAGCCATGATTGTCAAAGTATGATCTCCCAATCAGCATCATCAGTATCATCAAGGAGCTTGTGAGAAATGCAAACTCTCAGGTCCCATCCAGACCTATGATTCAGAAACTCTGGAAGTGGGGCCCAGCAATCTATGTCATAACAAGCCTTCCAGCTGATCCTGATGCACGCTCAAGTATAAAGACCATGAATTATGGTATAGGACTGCACTGTTTAATATGGCAGCAACTAGCCACACATGGCTATCGAACATTTAAAATGTGCCTAGTCTGAATTAAGATGTGTTGTAAGTATAAAGTACACCCCAGGTATCATATACTTAATATGAAAAAATTGTAAGATATTTCCTTAATGCTTTTTATATTGATTATATGTTGAAATGCAAATATTTCGAATATAGTGGGTTAAATAAAATAAATTATTAAAATTAATTTCACCTGTTTTTCCTACTTTTTAAAATATGGTTGCTAGAGAATTTAAAGTTACATATATGGTTTGTATTATATTTCTGTTGGACAGTGCTATTTTACGTGGTCTTTGGGTTTTGTTTTGTTTTACTTTTGTGTATTTATTTATTTCGTTTCTGTTTATGCCATTGGGTGTACTGGCCCAACATAATCCTATAACAAATTTTCATTTCTTGAGGACAAAGCTCCTAAGGCAGTTATAGGCAGCCTATTAATAGAGTATTACATTGAAGGACCTCAGTCTGTGATTAGAAACTCAATGTGGCTTTTCTACAGTCATACATAAACCTATGGTGGAGTCATAAGGCATAATCATATATCTGATGGGAACCTGCAAGATTTATCTGAGAATGAAGACAACCTAGAATTTATAAACAAGTATTTGTAAGAATATTTGATTGCCCTGATATAGATGCTGAGTGGTTTATAGATTGAAGTTTATATGTTTATTGGACATCGGTTTTCTTCTTTATGTACCTATATTTATTCTTAATTCAGCCATAACAATTGGGCTATTCTTTTATATTATGGCTATGTGAATAGCAACATATGTTAATAACATTTAAGTTTCCAGATTAAAAAATCACTTTCTTTTCTGTTTTTTTTTAATTTCAGCATATTACAGAGGTACAAATGTTTAGGTTACACATATTGCCTTTGCCCCACCTGAGTCAGATCTTCAAGCGTGTCCTAAAAAAATCACTTTCTTCCTGTGAAATACTAATTCTTCATGGTACTTCAGTGGGCACAAGGAAAAATGGCCTTTGGGTTATTGGAATTTGCTTTGATATTATGTTCCAGAAAGTTTTGCTCTATCTTATGCTCACTAGTATCAAGAATGCACCTAATCATTGTTCCTTTGTAGAAGGGCAGAACCTGCATATAAGCTGAGTACTTTTTTATATGGCAAATGGTGCTCTTTAATCCATTAGGCAATACGAGGGGGATGATAAGCTTGACATGGGCCTATGAGAATGTTTGAGATCAGAAATAAATAAATGATCAGCTCTGAAAAACCACAAGAAAACTGTAAAATCTCAATTAACTAATGTCTAACTGTCTAGTTAGATAATATTTAGACTTTAGTCATTTAAATTTAGCATTTATAGAAATTTCATTACATTAAAAACAAATTGTAGGTTTGATTTTCTTATTTGGCAATAATTCTTGAGTATTCACAATGATTTACCATGAAATTATACCTAACTATAAATTAAATGTTACTGATAATCAAATAATTTCAAAACCAATATTTTAAAATTCACTTCAAAAATTTACAGCAAAAATATAAAAAGTGGGATGTGGAGTCCTTTAATATATTTGAAACAATGCACCACTTGGCCTCCAAAAGTGAGAGTATATATAGTCTATAAGGATCTAAAAATGGCCACAGTGGCAAATATAATGACTCAAGATCTGGTCTTCTCCAATCCTTAGACTGGTACAAAGGCCAATCAGTGCCTACCAGCCAAGGGGTAAGCTTGCACACCTCAAGTCTTGATATTTCACTATATAAGATCTGTCTGCAAAATTTCACTGGCTATTTCTTAACATTCATTACTATCTTCACTATTCTAATTTCAAATGGAGGACATTCCTCATCTCCAAGGATGGGCTTGGGGGACTATTGGAAAACCTGAAGGTTTTTGTCCTCTGAAGGTTTGTGGGGGAGGAAGAAGACAGATATTTCTGTTTACCTCAGACCAAACACTTATCCTGTCATGTTGGTTAGTTGACTGGGAAGAATGTGGCCTTCAGTGGATAGTATGTTTTGAATTATGGTTGGGCCAGGGATTACCCCCCAGCAATCCACCTAGAACACTAGTTTTTGGTACTGAGAACTAAACATAATTTCCTGCCCCTGTGTTAAAAAATACTGAACCAGGCATCCTTTCCTATCCCTGTGTATATAATACTAGGACTGGGCATATTTTCTTTTCCCTGTGTTAAACAATATCAGGATAGACATACTTTACTGTTCTTATGTTAATACTGAGAATAAGCAAAAATAACATAGCTTCTTACTTCAGGAAATATTTGCTTTTAGAAGATATTGTGAACCAACTAAAGCAGTTTACTTATTAAGACTAACAGCTTGCTCACCAATACTTGCTTCAAGACCCTCACCTGCTGTATTCACCAGTACAAAGCCATTTTATCATAAATACTACACAATCTTAACCTGCTCCTCACCTTGCAAGACCTGCCTTGCAATCACAAGCCCAGGCTCTAAAACCCTATGAATATTTTCCCCTGATGTCCCCTTTCCAAGATTCTATGACTCTATCAATGTAGTGCTTTCATGCTGCTGTAAGTTTAATAAAGTTTACAGCTTTACCTGACTTACAGATTTTTCTGGAGGTCTTTTCTGGAGTCAATGGTGTAATATTTCTACACTCTTCCTTCCAGGCTGAGAAGGATTATATCTAATATTTCTAAACTTGTAAAAATATAGATAGGTAATGAGTAAGAAATATTTTTGTCTTATCAAAATTAGATATTTTTTGACTCTTTTATTATACCACACATTGGGGCAGGAGAAGTAGTTCTTAATCTGACTTGGGTCCTGGACTCTTGAAATTCTGAAGGATTTGGCCTGTCTCTCCAGAAAAATACAGGTAGACACATGTTTTTACATATATAATAATTTTTAAAGTTCATAGATCTTCTGAAGCCCACCCATGGACTATAGGTTCTGAACCCTGCTCTAGAGAGCACACTAGCTAGAGGAACTACCTTAGGAAACTCCCTTTTCTTTAAGCTTAATTTTTAAAGGTCAAACACTTGGAGGAAAGGCCTTTGAAGACTTTAGATAATACAAAATGTATTAATAGCTTGGGGCCGCTTTTGGTGCTTGTTTAAAATGCAGATTTTAGAGTTCTACTCCAGACCTACTCTTGGAGTGGAGCCCTGGAATCTGCAATTTAACAGACGGCGCAGGAAATTCTGATACACACTGAAGTAAGGGAACTACTCAATCTAGATGAACAAAATAAATCAGTACTGCAAATCGAAAAAGACCAATCTGTCAACTACACACCCAGTTTTTCTAGGCAAAAATGACATATTCATATTAATGACGTTATCTTCCAGTTGAAATACTAGTTCAGGATTCTAAATACATTGTTTTATTCTCAACAGTATAATAAAAATACGAAACTTAAAAATTAGCCTCAAACTAAAGAGTAGGTCTCTGAACAGTATTTGGAATTTAATACACTAATATCAAAGAAGCTACCACAAGTATGCAGTAAAGCAGATGTCATATGACTATGGGAGGGTATCACTGAATTCAAAACTGATTACAAAGCCATGAGTTTAAAACATTTAGAGAATACAACATTGCTTCCATTTTAATTCCCAGTTACTAACTGATGCCAAAATTTGTGATCGGTTCAGGCTATGTCTATAAGGGGTAGTTAATTCAATTAAATCAGAGTCTATAGGATAGCCAGGTCTGCTGGGAGTGTTTCTGACACCAAAAAAGGCATACGCAGTGTGAAGTGCACTCTCCCCCAGAACCATAAGGAAAACACAAGGTGCAGTTCTTCGTTCCTAAGAAACTGAATCCCACCGAAGTGATCCAAACTGAATGTCAGGGTCTAATTCAGTTCATTCAATCAACAGAAATCTAGCCTTAGTCAAGCACTTAAATTCATTAGCTCCAGCCCTTTAAACTCAACTGTCCAATAGGAAACTTGGCATCATCCCACAGAAATCTGCATCTCCTGAAAGAATCTTCATCTTTTTACCCACCTACATATCAATTTAAGCCTGCAATCATCTTTGACCTCACCCTTTCTTCCAACATCCAATCAATAATCTGAACATCTCTAGATTTTTTGAATCTAATCTCCATTCCTTCTGCCACTACCTCACTTCTGGTCCTGGATGCTTACAATATTCCCCCAACTAGTCTCCCTTCATCTGGTCTCACCTTTTGTCCTTAATTCATTCTGGACATCTGCTGTCAGATTACTCTTCTCAAAGCCTAAGCTTTAATCATTTAATTCTCCTGCTCCGAAACATTTCAAGGGCTTCCCCCTGCATACTGGAAAAGCTAAATTCCTTAGAATACCATTTAGGGGCCTCCATGATTCAGCTCCAACTTAACATTCAAGCTTATGTTCTGTGATTCACTTTCTTGCGTCTCAGTCTTCATTCAACCCCATGACCCTTTGCCTTGTTCACCCCACCAATGTGCCCTTTCTCATGCTTTTCCTTTAGCTTAGGACGCCCCTCCCAACTTCACAGATCCAACTCTCATCTGACCTTTAAGATCTAGCTCAAATGCCACCTTTTATATGAAACATTTTCTAACTCAACATTCAACAAATAGATGCCAAGTGCCATTTGGTATCAGACACAGAGCAGACAAGGGCCAGCTTCCCTTCCCCTCTGTAGCAAAAACCAATCTCTTTTGTCAGAATTCTCATAGCAAATGGACATATTTTATGGTATGTAATACTATACATATTGTATTGTGCTTCTTTATGTTCATATCTATCTTCTCCTATGAGACTGAACACCAAACTGCCTATTGCTCATAAGGAGGCATTTAATAATACATGTGAAATAAGTAAATATCTAGTTGTCTTATCTCCAAACAGTGAGAACATCATTTTGTCCTGATTTAATGGAATATTTTGGCTATTATGTAGACTTAGTTTTAATTCAACTTAGTTTTAATTCTATAAGCAAGACCAACAGAAGCAATCTCATAAGAAATAGTTTATATCTTAGAAGAAAATAAAAACCAATACATAGCCCATCCTACCAGGTTGGTGTTTCAAATAACTGACCAAACCTAAAAAAAAATAGGTAATTCTTTGCCAGGGTACCCAGTCAGGATTGTACAATATGATATTAATTAGTAAAGGAGGTAAAATATGTATTGATCATGGAAGGTTGGCATTTTTCTCTTTCCCACTTTCCTATTTCCTCCCTTCATGCGCTGTTATCAGTGTGGCCCAGGAAACTGTCATGGCAAAGAAGAAGGAAGAGCAGAAATGACCAATCAGATGGGAGGGCCACATTCTGTTCTGTTTTGGGGAATCTGAGCAAGGGACAAGTACCATGGCTTCATACAAGCCTCATGTATGTAGAGAGTGAGCTTTTCCTCTTGTTGCCATCTAAAAATAATAAAATAGTAACATATTTAATAAACACATATTATGTGCTAGGTAGTATATTAAGTACATTATATGTATTATTACATTCAATATTCACACAAGTCCTAGGAGGTTAAGTACTGTTATCATTCCTACTTAAAGCTGAAGAAGTAGAGGTGCAGAAGAGCTAAGTTACTTTCCCAAAGTCACGCAGCTAATAAGTGGAGGAATCAGATTAAATGCCCATATCCAGAGTCTTCACTTCTTTTTTCATTTTGTTTTTAATTGTGGTAAAATATATATAACATAAAAGTTACCATCTTAACCACTTTTAGTTGTACACTTCAGTATTATTAAGTGCATTATTGTGCAACCATCACTACTATTCATCTCCAGAATTCCTCATCTTCCCAAACTGAAACTCTATACTCATTAAACAACTCCCCATTCCCCCTCTCCCCGGTTCTTGGCAACCCCCATTCTACTTTCTGTCTCTGTGAGTTTGACTCCTCTAGGTACCTCAAATAAGTAGAATCATACAGTATTTTTCTTTTTGTGCTGGCTGATTTCACTTAGCATACTGTCCTCAAGGTTCATCCATGTTGTAGCATGTATCAGAATTTTCTTCCTTTTTAAGGCTTAATAATATTTCGTTGTTTATATATACCACATTTTGTTTATCCCTTCATCTGTCGATGGACACTTGAGTTACTTCTACCTTTGGCCTGTTACGAATAGTGCTGTAATGAACATGGGTATAGAAATATCTCTTGAAGACTCTGCTTTCAATTACGAGTATATACTCAGAAGTGGAATAGCTGGAACATATGGTAATCCTATTTTTAATTTTCAAGAAACCACCATACTATTTCAGAGCCTTTACTCTTTACCACTAATAATCTGCTGTTGTTACACTGCCTGCTCAGGGTGATGTCAAGCAGGCCAGCACTGGTCCTCTAGAAAAGGAAAAATCAGCTTGGCCATCTATGACTTCTTAAATAAATACTTAGGAGATTTTCACTAATGCTAATTATTTCACCCCTAAGGAAGTAAATGAGGCAAGAAATAATTTACATCAGAATATCAAAATGAAAATCACATTTGAAAGGGAAGCCTTGCCTGAGATCATTTCTTGTCTAATGTGTGTAGGCATTCTTTCAGATACTATAGCACTTCCAAGGACTAGGTTACTTATTCCAAAGACTTTGTCACATCTCTGATAAAACTATCTATGTGACTTTGGGCAAAGTCACTTCCTTCACTGTACCTCAGTTTGTTGGAACAAGTGATAGTAAAAGGTGTACTGTTGTAACCTTAGCTAAGTTACTTCATTTCTCTAAAGCTCACTTTCCTTATCTGTAAAATGGGGACAATGGTAAGACTTACTAAATTGGGTTATAGGAAAGATTAAATGAATATAAAAATAATATTAGCCCACAGTGTACATTGTAAGTGTTCAGTAAAGAGAAGTTGCTATTAATATGATCATTATTTTCAAGATTCTATATGTAAGAGAAATAGAAACATTTGTCCACATAAATCCCTACAAGTATACATTAGTGATTGCCTGGGGTAGGTGGGGATTAATTGCAAGCAGGCATGAGGGATTTTACTGGGGTGATGGACATGTTCTAAAACTTGATTGTGGTGATGGTAGCATAGGTATATAAATTTATTAAAACTCATTGAACTGTACTCTTAAAACAGGTGAATTTTATATACTTAAATTTTACCTTAAATTTTTTTTTAAAGATTCTATATCTCAAAACTAGGTCTGTGCAATTATATTCTATTGGCTCTCTGGAAACACTGATCATGAGAAACAGTTTTCAATTTTTCACTTACCGAAGGATGGGCTGCTATGTATCCATGTGCACTTTTATCTGAAAAGTGAAAATATAGAGGTCACCTTTGTTTCATAAATACTGCCTCGTTTAGAGACCATATTTAAAAATTAAAACTGCTTGCTTTTGACCAGACAGAAATTTTCCAATTTAGCATTAAATAGATATTATGACCAACAACGTACTTTTTCTTAAAATAGCTTACACCATTAGTTCCTCATCATATTCTCACCAAGTCATTTGACAGATATAATGAAGGCCGCCAGTGAATCTCATCCATAGGGAAGAATGTCAAGATTACCTACTCTTAATTGATACGGTTCTATACATCTATAGTAGTCCTCCCTTATCCGCGGTGGTTTTAGCTACCTGGAGTCAACCATGGTCTAAAAATATTAAATGGAAAATTCCAGAAATAAAGAATTCATAAGTTTTAAATTGTATATCATTTCAAATGTAATGAAATCTTGCACCATCCCACTCTGTCCCACCTTAAATGTGAATCCTCCATTTGTTCAGCATACCCACACTGACTGTTATCCACCCAGTAGTCACTTAGTAGCTGTCTCGGTTATCAAGTTGACTGTCAAGATATCGCCATGCTTGTATTCAAGTCACCCTTATTTTACTTAAGAATGGCTCCAAAGCACAAGAGTAGTATGCTGGCATATTGTTATAATTGTTCTATTTTATTATTAGCTATAGTTAATCTCTTACTATGCCTAATTTATAATTTATACTTTATCATACGTAAGCATATATAAGCAAAAACAGTGTGCATGTATGTGTGTATGTGTATGTATATATATATGTATATATATGTATATATATGTATAGGGTTCGGCACTATCCTCAGTTTCAGGCATGAACTGGGGGCCTTGGAAGGTATTCCATATGGATAAGGGGGGACTACGGTATATCTAGGATTTTCCCCCCTTTCCTTTCTCCCTCATTCTCTCCCTTCCTCCCTCCTTTCCATTCCTTCCTTCCACCGTCTCTTCTTATCTCCACCTTTTCCTCCTCTTCCCCTTCTATCCTATTAGTCTCAACACTAGAGCATTCAGAAAACATACAATGAGTTTCACTCAGCTAAATATAGTGCAATAACTCAAATACTGTTGAGTTCTAACATAGTTGTCAAGATTTCATCTTTGTAAGTTGAAAGAATTTGTCATATAAAAATAAAAGTGTTAAACAGCAGTGGCTGCTTGGAGGAAAGAACAAGCTTTGAGAATCTGAAGGGTATTAATGGTTACACTAAAATGATTTCTTGAATGCATTTTCAGTTTTAGTTGCCTATGGTTTTAACATAGAGCATGGCTCTTGATTTCCTCACATTAAACATTGTTGATGTGTCACGAGGATCTCTTAGACATTTTATTCCATGTGGAAGACTAAATATCATAAAAAGTTCTCCTGGATGGCTTTCTTTTAAGGGTTTTGGCACTGGAAAACAGTGGTTAAATTATATTGTCATTAAAAAAAGAGTTCAATTTAGCATGTAAATTGCCATATGCCTTCAAGTTTGAGCTTTGATATTTGATATTGCCAAATCAGATACTCCTCCCTTTCCAAGTGTATCCTTGAATTATTCTCAAAGAAACTTAAAGCCTGTCGTATACTAAATCCAGTGCCAAGAGGTAGGTGCACTTTATAGCTGGGGTACTAATGATAGTATTTTCTTCTTTCTCTAGATGTTAAATAATAAATTGTTCTAGAGAAATAGCCTGGATTGTCTTTCTCAAAATGTGAAAGTATATTTCAGTATATACTTTTCAATTGCTTATAGTGCAAATTTGAACATCAAAACTTCGAACAAGAGTCAGGTCTACACACTAGCAAATGTTGTCAAGATTTGGCAGTAACATGGATATTTCAATTTGTATAAATGGCCAGACATGGTTTATTTTTTTCAGTCTGATTTTGGGGTCTGATCAAAATAACCTGACACCAAAAAAATTTCTGCTGTATTATCATGGTGCAAATCAATGAATCTGAGAGATAAATTTCCAGAGACCATGGTTTGACCCATACACCTGTTACTTCATGAACATATCACAAAGCCTGATTGTAATCTTTATACCAGTAAAGAGACAAAACAATTGTGACTGCCAATCCAAGCTAACAACTACTGCTTCACTGAATAATTCCTTATTTGGGTCCTAAAAACACTCGAGTAATATAAATCTGCTAACATCAACCTCAAATTCCAACTCTTCTTTTGGTTTACTTATGCTGAAGCCATTTGGAGAAGGTACTAGTACTGACTTCGAATGTTCTACACACATTTTGTTCTAATAATGAAGCTCTAAGATTGGAATGACTTCTTCACCTTTTCATACCTTAGACTTCCTCTTACCTCCTGATGTAAAGCTCATGTATTTCTGGTTGTTGACTGTTTCTTTGGAATCATAGAATTTGAGAACATCTAGGACAGCTTGTGGGTTCTTCTTCTGTTCCAGTTTTGTTATGTTGGAGGTTTGGAGTAATCGTGCCCACTGCTCAGGAATTCCCTGTGGACAACCAAAGGGAAAGAATGGCAGCTCAGAACATTTGGCAGCAGCATTTTCACGTTCCAGTAAAGTTCTTCACCAAGAAGCCCATGCTACCTGTAGGATTACACTTGGGAAACTGAAGTTACATTCTAGATTTAAAGTTAGTAACTTAATAATGCAATCATTCTCTTCTCTAATTAAAACACATAGGTAAAACTAGGATCCAACTTAAAAAGGGTGGGTGGGAGTATGACTGTGATAGAAAAAAAAAGCGCATGAAAATCACCTCCATATTGACTCTGCTCATCCATGAAATGATGTTTACGGCTTAGCTTATTTTGTTCTGGCGACTCAGGGCAGACATAGCAAGACTTCTCTAAATTTGTGCACAGTGTAGTATAGTGCAAATCAATGGGTTTTATACGACTGGAATAACATATGCTGTTTCTGGGCATGTTGTAATCAGAATATATTTTAGAATAAAAGGAAAGCCTCACCCTTGGTCAGTTTATACTTTGCGATTGCACAATGTAATTTTTTGGGTCTGGAACTTTAATATAAAGGCAGATTGGGAGGAGACAAAACCAGAATTGTGGAGGAGCAATAACCACTGAGATGCTAAATAGTAACATTAATGCTGCTTTGGGCATTTCCCCTGCAGCTTGCTCTAGGGCATGCCCTCCTTCTCTCCTCCCTCCCTCCCTTCCTCCTCACTTCATTTATAGGCCATACAAAACCTGGGGACTATGAAAATCATGCCAAAGCCTTGAGAGAATTTATAACAATCTGAACCATTTACGACAGAGAGGAGGGAGTATTTGGATATCTAACCAAGGAGAATTGCAAAAATTACACGGAGCGGTTAGCTTTGCATTGAGCATTCAACATTCTTTCCCACATCTTCGGCCTACAGATGTCCCCATTTCATAATTACCCAACCTCCAAGAGCAACTTGGAGAGAGAAACAGACACACTCACTATTCCTGAAGTGCATCCAGACACAATTTTTGTGGCTTTGTCCTATGAAGTCTCGGCAAAACAATGTGTGACGTGGGCCTCCAGAGTTTGGGAATGACAACAAAAAAGTGAGATAAGCCAAGCAACAACTCTACTGTACACACATGAACCTGCTGCTGCAGTGCTATGACATCTCAAAGAAGCACTTTGATGCAAGCTTCTTTTGGGCCTGTGACGCACCTCTGGGAGCTTCCCTGGGCACATCTGTGAGCCATAGAGATCTGGCTGTAATGGACGTAAATAAAGAAAGAAAAGAAAGTTAAAACAGAATGTGGGACAACTTAGAAGGTGGGAGGAGATGAAACCAATGGGTCTGAATGGGGGAGTCCCTTCTAAAGTGGGGCAGTTATGAAAATAGGGAGGTATTAACTAAATCAGGGACAGGACAGTCTACAGGACAACAGATTTAAGAGAACAGAGAAAACGACAATGTTCCAGCAAAGTTTGGATGTATAATTCCACTTTTGGCCAGATGCTTCCTCCATAAATATGTAATAATAAGAGTTATCATTAAGTGACTGGAGAAATTACTAAAAGGCAGAAACATGAATTTGGAGGGAAGAAGGATGGCATCATGAAAATCTTTGACAATAATTTGTAAGTTGCTTTTATAATTGAGTGATCACAAGTAGCCAATGGCCATGTGATGAACTTACAAATTTCAGTTCCCAATCTGGTTAACCAATTTCAGTTTCACATTGAAAGTGTGTGTGTGGCTAAAATTCAAAGGATAGCTATGTGGTAATGCTGAATTTTTGCTCTCATTGATATGTTCTTCTACGCTTTGTAGCTAAAGTCATGGCTGGCTTACAGAAAACTAGATAAAGGATGTTCCCACACAGCCACACTCTATGTTTAAGATTCTTAGACATTTAGATCAGGGAAAGGGAAACCATTCCATCTCAAGCCATATATGAATAATTTCCATTTTAGTGCTACAGTTCCAAAATCCCACTTCCCACAAAAAAGATCAGATATAAAGTGACAACGTTGTCTAAATAAAGATATCTCAAATGCTATAGAAACATGCTTTGACCCAACTGGCTTGATTTGGGATATACGTCCTTGATTCCTGGCATTGGGGTTACTCCAAGCACAGTAAAATGACACTTGTACATGCATTCATCACGCAGTTTGATGCTAAAGCCTTAAGCCAAAAATTTGAACTCAGGAGCCCATGCATGATCCCAGTTCTGATTCTAAGTGCAATTAATAGCATTTGGTTAATACTGTGATGGCCAAAGGAGTTAAGTGTTACAAATTGAGGTATGCATTGCACATAACCACCAGAGCAGACATCACTGGCATGATCGTTACCATAATCATTAGAATATTTGCAATTATTATACATTCCTATGGCACTTCTAAACTTTTGTGATAAATAGTCTTGTGATCACTAGACAGCAGGAAAAAATGCTGTCAATTGCAGAAAATCCTCCAGACAGCTATACTTACCACGTGACTACAGTGCTGACATAATTTCTTTTTTCTAAGTTGAGACAAACCCATTTATCGATGAAACCTGACACTTAAATTTGAATGTATGCCACAAAGGCACATAATCAGAGAGCCATCTGATAACTCCAAATTGAGGCACAAATCTTAAAACTTAGAGATCTAGGAGTTTGAGCATCAGAAGCAGGAGCACATATCAATGCCTGACCATGTATACGATAACAACTAGATGTACATCAAGCTGGGGATTGTCCAGTGTAGCCCAGGAGAATGGCAGCATGATATAACAGGCCAAGCATTTATCTTATCATAAGAAATGATAATTTATATCACTCATACCATTTTTCCCTCTGATTGACTTGAAGCGACCGTCACAGGTCTAGAGGTCTGGAAAGGGGAGTTCTGAAGTATTTGGGACAAAAATGGCAATATAATGGGTAAGGACTTGTAATAATTTAATACCAAATATCTCACCTCCCAACCTACTTTTAGCTTCAGGGTCCAAGTGTATGATCAGGTGTACAGGATTATATGGGCCATTAGCCATAGGGTAATCACCAAGCAACACACCAAATCAGTGTCCAAACATTCAAAATAACAGGCCCTTGTAAGACAACTGGATTAGACAGTTCAACGAATTGCTCAAAATTCAACCTCAACAACCACAATAACCAAATTTAGCAATATGATCCCCCCAACACACAATGAATTCGTGGTACTGTGGCAATTAGGACCCAATTCTAAATCCTACCAATAAAATGACTTTCTTAAAAACTTATTATTTGGCATTTTTAAACTTAATAAACATAATAACATAGTAAATGTAAATCATAGGTTAAAATAGTAAAAAAAAGGCAGAATTTGGTATCTTTAAAAATAATGTGTGGACAGTAGTTATAAAAGATAATCAAGATAACAATAAAGTACTTCCAATTTCCAAATCTAGGCTGTGTCTTTCTATATATTCAATGGATTTCTAACAATTGATTGCTTCCAAATAGCTGTTTTATTTCAAATTGTGGGATTTTTGGGGGGGAAGGGTATTTGTTTGGTTTGGTTCAGTTGTATCCAACTGCTTTTCCCCGTTGGAAAGACCGCCCATCACATATCCTGCTCCATCCCTCTCTGATTGGTTCTTTGGGTTCTAATTGACAGCAAAGTGAAAATGACTGGTGCTGCAGTCAGCAAGATGGTGGTGATTCACTTTCTTTCATTTACATTCAGAACCCCAGAAGGACAAAGAAAGAGCTAAAGATAGAGATATTGTATCACAACATATCAAGTAAGTTGGAAAAGCAGAAAGAATAAAATATTGGAAATGAACCAGAATGTCACATGAGATAACTGGAGGAGCAAAATGTCACATCAGAAAACAAACAAACAAACAAACAAAACACACAAGAGTTAAAGAAAAAGAGAAAAAAATTTGGAATGACAACAATAAAACATAAGTTTAAACAGAAGAGAAGCACAGAGAAAATAAAAAGGTCAAAACTGGAAAGATAAAGTTCTTAAAAAAGGGAAGCATTATTAGCAAAACTTTTATAAAGTTTAAGGGCTTTTCTTGTATCAAATGTAAGAAAGAATAATTATAATCTCTTTATGACTCTTTTAAAATATAAAATTTTTCAGATTATAGAAATTACTTTTTTTCTGGTGGTGATGATGGTGGTGGTAGTGGTAATAGTGAGGTTATAGTTTCTAAGTGTAACTAAGAGAATATTCTGGAAATATAGTAAAGGCCAACCTCAAACTCAAGGCCATTTGAATAAGGTCTCTTACTCCAATGATGAAATTGATTAAATCTTACCTATCTCCACTTTATCAGTGTCACTATTTCTTAACGTTCTCTTCTGCTTGCTACTGAGAACGCAGAAATAATCAGCTCACACCACTTTACGAGGCCAAGATATTTACTCAGTTTCAATTTCATTCTCACATTGCTTACTTCCAGAATTGAAAAAAATAAGATAATTAGACTGTCAATTCAGCAACATGGTTTGTTTTTCCACATCATATTACTTTGCTCCTTCTTTTATGTTTTTCACTTAATCGTGTGACACAGTCTACTCACTAACCATCATGTTATGAAATAAGAACTTCAACTATTTAACATCTAAATTTCTCTCTGGTTTACAGCCCAAGAATTAATGGTGATAGTTCTATCAAAGATTTTTTTCCGAATGCGTTCAAAATTACTCCTCGTTTCAGAATGCACATTTTGATTGAGTTCCTTACTAGTATGGAAAAAGGTAGTTGACCTTTCTTGGAACTTATTTCTAGTCATATCTTTTCCCTCGTCCATCTAAAAAAAAAAAAAAACCACTGGATCTTAAAAGAAAGTATAAAATGTCATAGATCTGGGATCTTGTGCTATGTAAGCACTACGAATAAATATACTTATTAATAATCATAAAAACAATCTATGTTCTTGAAATCAAAGGGAAGAACAGGTCAGTTTTACAGAGATTTTGGTTAGTGTGGTTAGCTGATCTGGGTAATCCAGGTTTCAATGTGAAGCCTGAATTATTCAGATGGATTGTCTTCCTTGGCCAAATTGAGTACATGATTCTATGATTCATTTTGCGTGCAAAAGAACAAGCTCAGGCAGGGTCTCTCTATTGGGACTACATTTTCTGTGCCATGGCAAATTAATATTAATATTTTCAACCAAGTTGAAGACAGGACAGCAATTAGACATTTAAGATGGACAAAATAAATTTGCCAATGTTGCTGCCACCCTCTATTTCCATCTATGATCGTCTAGGCAAAGTCCATCTTATTTGGAATCATCAAAAACATCGTCTGACATTTTGGGACATGGCATTTCTTGCTTGAAACCTATTTCCATAAAGGAATCCTTTCATGGCTTACAAAACAAAATAAGGAGCTTACTTACAGTGAATTCCCCGGTGACTGCATCAAACCCCACATGAATCGTATGCTCAAAGTCTGAAGGAAGAGAGATCTCTGGACGCTCTTTCTCTTTCTTCTTATTGGCTAAAGGCAAAATGTTTACATGTATTTATTTGGGGTATAGTTTTGGTATCCACAAGTTATACAATTAGGTTCATCAAGAACAATTATAATGTTGAAAGACAATTAATTCTAACACAATTTTAACAATATTTCTTCAGATATTCCTTCCAATTTTATTTGCAGAAGTGGCTAAGAATTTGACGAAAAATGTTATGTCCAAATAATTAAAAAATTTCCCAAACCCAATTTAAACAAAACCCTCATTTAAATTGATTTATGTCCTTTAACAGGCTAATGGTGTAACCAACAGGCAACTAAGGAATATTGTCTTTACTGGCTTTGTTGGATCAAATACTGCTTACTAAAGAAGAAATTCTTACACTCAAGTCAAACTAAGGCTTACTATTAGAAAGAAAGAATAGAAAAGAAAAGAATGTTATGAATTGTTTCCATGTTAACTATAGCTAAATATCAAGTGATTGGAGCCTCTTTCATTTAAATATTTATATTATAAAGTATGTGTGTGTATATATATATATATTTATATATATATTTTTAGGGGGGGTGGGGTGACAGTCTCACTCTGTCACCCTGGGTAGAGTGCCATGGCATCATCCTAGCTCACTGCAACCTCGAACTCCTGGGCTCAAGCGATCCTCCTGCCTCAGCCTCCTGAGTAGCTGGGACTACAGGCATGCACCATCAGGCCAGGCTAATTTTTCTATTTTTAATAGAGATGGGGTCTCACTCTTGCTCAGGCTGGTCTCAAACTCCTGAGCTCAAGTGATCCTCCTGCCTTGGCCTCTCAGAGTGCTAGGATTACAGGCGTGAGGCACCATGCCCAGCCTATAAAGCATATCTTAATAGACTTTTGGTCTTCTTTCAACAAGAATACTATTGCAAATCAATGATGTTACAAATCTATTTTTATCATTAAAAACATTTAAAATGATTTCCTACTTAGTACTTTGCTAGTTAAAGGCTACAAATTGCTGCTTTTTATTACTGAATTAATTTTATTTAGTTCTTAGAAAACTCAAACCAGTTCCTTGGTTTAGTCTTTATAGTTTGTAGCTATTTTCCCATTATATTGTGTCACACTACCCATTCAAAATCATTGCCTTTCTCAAGTAGCAGATTTTTCAGTTACACAGTTATGAATAAATGTATCAATAGCTAATAAGTTAAAAGCCTTTAAAGATATAATCACTAAAGAAATTAAGTTGAGAACTATAATGAAATTAGTCTATCTGGAAATAGTTCCCAGGAGGAAGTTACTGTGGAAACATTCTAAAATGGCATCTAGTAGCTTCTATAGCACACATATCAGCAAATTTTAACATGTATCTCTGATAAGACTGCTTTTCACACTGAAAAAATAATACCCATCCTCCTAATACTGGACAAGTCAGCATGAACCAGGTTTACCCAGTTGAAACCGATCAATTTCAAAATTGCCAGGGTGGTCAATTTAAAACATACTGGTCCGAAGAGATGTTGCCTTGGCCTGAATTACAGGCAACATTCAACTATATATGGATTACTGGTTTTGTGGGTTACCCATGATGAATTTCAAATTCAAAACTTTTCATGTTCAAATGCCATTATTATGACTTCTTTTCTCTCTCCACCCTCTCTCACTGCTCTATGTCTCCAGCCAGAGGACAGAGATATGAGGCAGAAATACGAAAATTTAGGTAGTGAGAGGGACCATACAGGATCAGGAAAGAAAGGCTGGAGGCAAGGGGGACAAGAGTCACTCAAAGCCTATGTCTAGCCGTGGAGCACATTTAGGACTTATTCTGAAAAAAATATGTGCATATTGTCTAGCTTAACCTCAGCACAGATTCCATTTTTACAGTGAGCCTATTTTAATGATGAACACTATTTTAACAGTGAAGTTTAGAGCTTTCTGCTGGTACTCCTAATTCCCTTGCATGTTCGTGGACTGTAGCTACCATTTATTCTTGTTCAACTACCATTTTTACTTGCTCAGAAAGGCAAACAGAACAATCAGCCTTCTGTTCTTGCCACTCCACTGAAGGTGTCTTAGCCACTCCCGTAATCTTTTTGTTATTTTTTTACCTGTCCTGATCTCCCATCCATGCTGGCCATGGCTAACCGTCTCTTTTTGCCCTTCCTCGACAATGTGGTCTGACTTTCCTCCTCCCTCAGTGACCATTCTTTCTTTGATTGTCATTGCTTCTCTCTCCTGTGCCTTTGCTAATAGAGTCTTTGGACTTCTGCAGTCCTTTCTCCATACTCATTCCTTTCAACTGCATCCACTCCCAGATACTAACTCATGTTAGATCATTCCCTAATCGGTGGTTAGCAGAGGTGGATCCAGATATTGGGGGATCACACACTTTATATAATTTGAGAGGAAGGCTTCCTTTAAGCAAAAAAAAAAAATTACAAAATTGTGGAGGGGCCCAGGGAGAGTCCCAGGTAAGTGAGGAACTCTGAAATAGCAGCTTCATCTGCTTTATAGTAACCAGCTCTTGGTAACCTTTTTGGGGTCAAAGACTACTCTGAAAAATCTGAAGAAAGCTGTAGAACTTCTGCCCATAAAAATACACTATTACACACACACATATAATTTTGTATATACTTTCAGAGGTTTATAATTCTCCTAGACTCCAGGTTAAAAGCCCCTACCTTAATCTATACCTCCAAACCTTATATAAATTTGGATTCATGGCCTCTCTTGCCAACAAATAAACTCTTGGAACTTTTCTATTAGTAGTGGCTGCATGTTTGTAGCATACTGACTTAGATGCAAACACTCCACTTTAGCTGAGTTATGTGCAGAACTGGCTTAATGATATCTCCCTAGAAGGCCACCTGATTGCCAGTCCCTTACCAGCCTGACCATGCCATTCCCTTCCCTCTGGGCTAAACATAACAGAGGCAGGAAGCCCAAACTTGCTCCTCTTCCAGTGTTCCCTATATCTCATTGAAATGGTACCACTAACCACCCAGATTAGAGAAGGAGTAAGGCCTTATACTCTTCCTCCTTTGGGAGGCTCTAAGCAATGGAAAGATTATGATTCCCCCTTTCAACTATGCAATTCAAATAAAAACAATACTAAAGCATAAAAAAGTTAGGAAGTCAAAAAAGTTATGTTCCCGTGATGATTAATTGGAATCTTTTTAAAAGCTATATATCCAAAAGTCAACTGTTTCCACATTTTCAGTGCTCCTGATTAGCTGGATGCCATATGCACCTGCTTTCTATGACTACGGGGTAGTCCAGCACTGGCCCAGCTGCCCAAACCAGAAATTTGGGAGTCATCTTGGACTCCTACTTTATTTCTACATTAATTGATCACCAACTTCTCTCTATTATTTCTCCCAAACTGATCTTGAATCCCCCATTGCCCATGTGTTAAATGTTCATGCTCCTTAGCATGATATCCAAGGGCCTGCATGATCTGCTCCTAGCCTATCTTTCCAGCCTCTATTCTTGTCATGGACTTCACTATCTATACTCATTCCATGCTCCCTAAACAGCCAGGTTTTCTCTTACCTCCAAGCTTTTCCACATGCTATGCCTATGCCTGGAAAGTCTTACTTCTTACCCCTCCCCTCAACTTTGTGTGGATCACTCTCATCAGTCCTTATTTTTGGAAGGCAGCTATGCTCACCACTATACCACCAACGCTGGCATATCAGTCCTTATTTTTGAAGACTCACTCTTGGGCTTCTCTCCTTTGACAAGTCTTTTCCTGTCTTCCCTCTGCAGACAAAGTTAAGTGCTCTTCCTTTCATGCTCTCATAAAACTACTCAATGTATACTCTGAGCTCAGCACTACTTATCAGCACTGGATTGTTAGCTTTTTTCTTTACATATTTATCTCTGTAGCTAAAATTTGAGATACTTGACAGCAAAGGCTGTATCTTATTTATTCTCACATTCCCTAGCACTTGGCTTGTGCCAACACACTTAAAAACTATCATTAATGGAACACTTGCCACATGCAAAGTACTTCTAGGATTATCTCATTTAATCTCCACAACAATCTTATATCGTTAGGTAGGTAGGTCTTATATTTATATATGAAAAAAGAACTTAGAGAGGTTAAACCGCATATGCAGGGTTAGACAATTGGCAAGTATAAGAACCAGGATTTGAACTTAAGTCCCCACTATGTCTCCAGAACTAAAGCTCTTAATAGCTACACTATTAGTCAATGGCATTCTAAAAAATCAACATATTTGAGCCCTAGCCCTCAGCAGATGTTTAGTGACTGAATGGAGCCTAGATGAGAACTGGTTTTTGTTTTGTTTTGTTTCTTTAGGAACACTAAAATATCTCTCTCCCCAAAATTCTGTGAGCATTGGTCATTTATATTAAGCCTCAACCTGATCAGCTCTGGGTTGATATTTGCGGAGGGCAGAAGTCCAAATGAGTTTCACTTTCTAAGTATATGTCTCATATTCTCCTGAAACCCAGAACAAGGCCACAAAACGTTGACTGGACCACAAACTGCAAACAGCATTTGGCCTTTGGACCCACTAGGTACCCACAAATTCTGGTTGTAACTCCAGGGGCCAGCTACTGTCGCCAAATCTCTCACTCTGACATTTTTTCCATTCCATTACCTTGTAAAGAGAGAAAAACCCCTCTAATCATCTATCATCTCCTATGTGTCCACTCTAATGCTCGGCAGTTCCTCTAGTGGCTAGGGCTTGTCCCGTTAGAGATAAATTTTTCTACACCTTCAACCTCTTCATTAAATGCTTTCTTTACTTCTTGCCTTAGGTTCTCAAACTTCACTGCTCATCACTGTCACCTGGGAAACTTTGGAGGAAAAAAAGGGAGATACCAGAGCCCCACCCCCAGAGGTTCTGATTCAGTTAGTCTGAGTTAGGTCCAGGCATCTTTATTTTTTAAAGCTCCTCAGGTATTTCTATTACGTAGCTGAGGTTGAGAACAACAACTTTAAACCCTACTATCCAATGAGGGTACCACTTTGTTAGACAATCCTGGTGGACGCTGCTCATTTCCTCCACTCCAA